TCGGAGGAATATATTGCCTACATGTTCGGGGTCCAGGAGTAAGCCAGAAAAATAATCATCAAGAAAATACTGTTCTTCTTGCTTCCTTGGCTTACACTTCGAGCCTATACATGCAAGCGGTGCGTTTCTCTGAAATGTTGTATGAACTTCTATGGTCTGTACGGCGCCAAATTCCAAGAAATTGATGCTTCTGGGAAATAATCTTATTCACCTTATATGGATTAGGCCTGTTCCAGTTCAGGATTAATTTCGGGAATTACAAATTTTTAAGTACTTGTTACGTAGATCCCCTTGCGAGGGGATCGGCCCGCAACAAGTCCCTTGGAAGGCTTCATGTGTATATACAGAACTTCCTGCAATACGCCTGCTGCGGTTTGACTTCACACATCCTACTAAGTTATTTAGTGCCCCTTTATTACCACAAGGAGACACAAACACAAGAGAAACGATGTTTCAATCCCATGCCCCCAGCGTCTGGTTGCATTGGCCGTGATTAAACGGCCGCTCGATTGCGTGCATACATATAAACACAGAATTACAATAAGATTCATGTGAATCGTGAACTGAACGTGATAAACGTAATACTGATGAAGCCTCCACAACTTGTGTTGTCAGAATAATATATTAGTACAACGTATAATATTAGTATTTTGGCATGCAGACCCGTTGCTAGGCAACCAGTGCAAAAAAAAAGTCCGTTAAAAGGCAACGGCCCGTAAATAACCGAGAAAGGGTGTTTTATGTGCGGGCCGATATGTTATAAGCAAGAAAGTTAGTGAGGAATTAGTTCAATTAGCGGAGTGGAGTGGGTTAGTTGGTAAGTGAGGGAGTCAGATGACTGCTGCAGTTCAGTCCCCGTAAACTGTTGTTGTGAGAAGCCGGAAGCTGAGGCCAGGGATAGTTCGGGAACCCAGAGAATGTGGAACGTCCGCCGTTGGAAGCCGCTACCAGACAACGACTGGTGACGACGCAGTAGACTGAGAAGACTTAAGTGTATGCTCTAGTGAACTGTAAAGTGTGCGAATGAGCGGTAGCGCTATAATTATTTGTGGTCACGGATCTGTAGGAGCCCAGTGAATCCGATTACCCCTCCAAACCCCGTATATAATCAGCAAATCACGTGAAACGTTATTAGGAAGCGCTGTCTTACACAGTCCTTCAGTGATTATACCAATGTCTTGGTTAACTGAAAACCCCTTACAATAGCCTTTTTAATGGTGAAACACTGGATTTCGAATAAATAAAGGATAAAGCTATCCCTGCCAACTTTTGTGGATAGAGGGTGTGGCGTGATCAGCGCAATGAATCTCCACGGCCGTTAATTTCGGTTTTCTATCCTCACGAGGCTGAGTGGACCCCGTTTCAGACGCAGTGCTTCTCAGAAAAGAATCCGTTAATGCCGGGAATCGATCCCGGGACCTATCGATCAGCGGCCAGGAACTCTTACCACTAGACCACAGAGGCACTAACTTCGTCGACAAACGGCGGTTGCTCGGTCGGTATAGTTCGCTTGCGGACTAAAACCACTGGGTTTTTTAAAGTTATCCCTACAACAGGCCGTGGAAGCCCAGATGTTTGTGAGACGTCGAGACTGTTACATTTTCTAGATAATCCACTCACAGATGGCGGCAAAAATGAGGGAGCGTCTGATGATAGTGTAGAAAACCGCTAGAGATCGGATTCCTCGCAGGAGCGAAGGAATGGCGTGGGGTGGGAGGTGGAGGAGACACGAAGGGCACATGTAAATATCGAAGTCATAATTGAAGAATTATCTTAGTTCAGAAATGTTTTTCATAACATACTACTTTAATATTTTGTACGTCGAAACCTGAAATATTATCAGACGCGTCAACGCAACAAAAACACAGAAACACACAATGTGATTATATAAAGGTTTTTATATTGGGTTCTTTTTTATTTTAAATAGTTTTCTTAGTATCTCAAGGTCTATAGAAGTTCACAGTTGTACACAGACAGATGTTGTCCTTTAATATCAGGGTCAGTTATAACGACGGAAGGTTTAAGCACATTGCACCGAAGCTCATGCAATTGAGGCCCCTAAAATGCGGGTGCCCTGGGGAGCTGCCCACTTTGTATATTATATAAAGCTGCCGTGTTATATTTTTAAAGTTAATTTTGACGGTTGGAGGCTTACTGTGAAGAAACAAATATTATACATTTTCTAGGTTATCATGCTCATAAACACACCACACAAATTTTCCGATCGTAATGGCAAATTAAGGCATTATTTTCTGTGACGTTACGCCGTGTAGTTCGATAGAAATTCACAAGATTTTCAGAGGGCTTATGTTTGCTGCTTGCTTACTCTATTTTGTATCCCGTAAATATGTGCATTCAGAAGAACTCTTCTTAGCGAGACGTTGTGAGATCTGCGTTGCTCTGAACAGACGTAGGAGTTTCCGATGCTGGACTTGTAACTGACGCCTTGTTCTGTGTCTTTCTTGCAGTACTGTGTGCACATGCTGTTGATTCTAAACTCCAGATATTAACGTACTTATCTTCTCTGCACTTACGTTAAATTATTCTCACGTATCTAACGATGCCGTTTCAACTGCACACGTCTGGAATTGAGACTGATAAACTGCAGACATTTGGGCCCTTCGTTTCATGTATGTAAATAACAATGTCCCAGTACGGGCACTGAGAGATATACGTGTACTTGAAGCAACTAGTACCATGTTCTGTCTTACATGTAACAGTGTAAGAATGCAGACATTGAGAGCCCTATAATGCAAACATTGGCACCTGGTTATGTCCTGTATCAAGTAATGTCCAAATACGGATATTCTAAGCGGTAACTGAAGTCCCTGGCACCGTAGTGTTATGCGACGTCGCGTTGGAATACAGACACTGAGCCCTAGAATGCAGGCATTGGCACCGTGATGTTATGTGACGTCGCTTAGGAATACAGACACTGAGCCCTAGACTGCAGACATCGGCACCGTGGTGTTATGTGACGTCGCGTAGGAATACAGACACTGAGCCCTAGACTGCAGATACCGCCATCTTTTGATCTTCAGTCTGCAGCCGGACATGATGTCGAAGTGACGCGGGGGTTTGGTTGGAGCCTGCCCTGCGAGAGGAGTGCTGCGTTAATGTCTCTGTGACAGTTGAGCTTGTGTCTGCAGCTCCGTCGCGGATCCGCAGTCCAGGGAAGCAGAACGCGATTCCAGCCAGTAGCCAGCTGACCGGAGGCGCTTTCCTGGAACACACAATGGCCAGGAAGAGTCTAGTACATAATGCGCTCCTCACAGAGATACGTTTCAATGTTGCCCTGCAATAGCTGGCATCACTTTGTATTTTAGTTTCGTCCTGGGAATCGGGATGTCCTGGCACAAGAGATTTCCTCAGGCTCCATATGCCATGGCACCTTCCTTCAATGTTCTTTCCGTGTCGTTACTGACAAGCACCCTCCAAGTCCTGGAGTCGAACCTATGTAGGTAATAAGGTCTTGTTACACAACCCGCTGACGAAGTGGCAACGCTCTTTACTCGAATGCTGTAGATGCTCCGTTCGAATCTCGACTCCTACAACGGCTATCCTTACTGGGGATTTTGGTTCAGTCCCTCTGGTCAAGTACCGGGACAGCACCGAGTTTGTAACACGAAGTCTTCCGTCCAGCTCCTTCCCAGTTTATCCTTCTGCTACCGTCCGAGACTAAGTGTCCGAAAAATGCGATAACCAACCCAAACTCGTCTATAGTCACTCCATAAAGTGGCAATATAATAACTTAAATTATGTATTGTGTGTCATATTGTTCTTTTTGCTTGTGTCTTTACATGTGGTCTAGTAGCCAATGTGTATGGTCAGCCCCCACGGGCTATTACAGTATAAAATTTACGCAAATTATCACTTAAGCCTGATTTTGGCCCTGTGTGGCCGAAACATGTCGTGAATTTACACGAAAGCCTGGACTAAGTCGTGAGCCGGCTAGCAATCTGTGAAGCTTCATTGAAGACTATAATGACATGGAATTTGAAGTGTAGTGAAGCCCGGTTTCAGAGCACGTCTTCAGGATTTCGCTCCGCTAGCGGAATATTCACTTGGGTAAAGACGCGCGTTCCTTAACGTCACAGTTACTTGGTTCGGCTTGAAACCAAGATATTGTAACGGATTTGATCAACGCGTTGCCAGGCAACAGCTGCGTAAACACAGTCTAGCACGCAACAATAGATTAGGCTGTTTTCTATGTCGTCCGCGCCACGCCCAGTGCTGGTAACGGAACAATGAACTCGCAATCTGACATGTAACGTGTGTTTTCTTTGTGGTCTCCGCCGTGCAACAATAGAGGGGCTGTGTTTTCTGTGCGTGGTCCGTGCCGAGAGGATATGAGAGAACACGGGAATGGGAACTGACTTGAGTAACCCCGGTCTGGAAGCGGGGTCGAATACTTCCAACGTGATCCTGCGAGTCGTAGGAGGCGACGAAAGGGGAAGTCTCAAACCTGAGACAGTAAAATATGGTCGCGAGTCCCAAGGGACTCGGACCCGAGAAAGGCTGCGCTCGCAAGGGCCAGCAGCATATACAAAAGACAGATCCGTCTTCTCGTCAGAGAGGGAGTCCCACAATAACAAGACTTTGTCAAACAGTAATAAATATCTGGTCATAAGCCCCAGGAAGGGGCTCGACACCAAGACTTACTAACTGACTGGCCGTCAGTCACAATGTGACTTTGAGCTTCTTGGGACAAGGAATACAAAAATAATTCTCTTCACGAACATGACTCTGTGTAGTTTGGTAGTTGTTTCGGTTAGTGAGAGTATTCTTAAAGAGTGTTCTCGTTTGCAACCTACAATATCCACCTCAATACTCATAGAATAGGCATGGTACACTGAAAGAAAATACTGCTTGCTCGTTTATGATCTGATAAGTAGCTTACGTCCATACATCGTGTCTACGATCGTCAATTCATTACTATGGTAACCTGAAATTCCTTAACAACAGTGATACATCTCACGCCTACAAATAGTTTTACGTACCTCAGAGTCCTGCACATGCGCGTGGAGAAGAGGCAGTAGATGACTGGGTTGGCAGCAGAGTTGAGCGGCGCCAGGCTCTGTATAAACGTGGCGATGGCGATGTTGTTCTGCGTGTTTGGCACGTGGCCGTATACTTGGAGCAACCCGAAAACGAAGTAGGGACTCCAGCACAGAATGAACACTGCAACAGCAGCGCCAGTCCTTAATCTGCAGGCAACTGAATCACATCCACTACTTGTACAGAGTGTCCCGTAAATTCGTTTTCAAGGGTTCCATTGATAAAATATTTTTATTTTCTGTATGACGATATATGGCATTCAACATTATTTGCGTTTTCCCCCGAATTTCCGGACAACCTGTGTACCGAGTAAGGTGACACACTGGTAATGAATCTCTCGATCCAAAGGTCTCTACTTCAAACTGGGCCAGGACCAGTTTTTTCTTTATTGCTAGTGAGGGTGAGACTAAGTCCCTTGTACTGCGGCCACTTCTGGCCTATTGTACCAGCCCCAGATGATAGGTGAGGGTGGTTGTGGAGCAATTTATGGAATTAAGATTGGAAGGGAAAACCGAAGTACTCGTAGAAACCCTGCCTCAGCGCCACTTTGTCTACCACAAATCCCACTTGACCAGACCCGGGATTGAACCCGGGCCGCCGTGGTGAGAAGCCAGCGACTAACCGTTTGAGCTATGGCGCGGCCACCAGGGCCAGTTAGTCTGAGGATTTCCTTTCCGTCCTGTCCATCCTATGATATTAATGAATGAATGAATGAATGAATGTTACCCTACTTAATCATCTTCATCCTAATGTCTTTCACGTGAATCTGTATAGCATCTGTAGTTGATGGTGGGCAGAGACCACGTTCAGATTGGCCAAGCGGTCCACACAGTTTCCTTTGTAATATGCATCTCCGTTTAGCTGCCCAAAACGTTTCTGAGGGTACATCTTATATTACGCAGGCAAAACTTCGGTCACGACAAAAGGCGTCCCAGCAGAGTTTAGAACGAGTCACTTCAAGAAGTCTTACGGCTTTGGGCACAAATTAAACGATCATTTGCCAGTGCTGTCCTGATACAAATGTACAAGCACAGATGCTTGAAACTGGCAATTCGTACAACTGCGGATGACCAAGGATTGCTGCATAAGATGATTTGAAATATTACCTGAATGAATTGGTTGTTATGTACTTCAGGGTAATATCAAGGCAATAGCTTGGAGGAAAATTTCCCGTCGAACGAGAAACAAAAGACGTCACAGCATAAACTGACATTGTCACAGAGGTAAGTATAAAGTTCACAGTTTTTTAGGGTACAAGGACATGAAGTTTGGAGAGAGAGAACAAGATAAAGAATAATAGTAAAAAAGCAGGTTAAAAGAATTATGAGAAAAATAAGAGATGTTCAATTTGGTAGGAATGTTAGAATGCACATAATTTTTTTGAAAGTATCCGGATTTCTCCCGCTGCTCCTGATGAGAGTTGCAAGAAAGTCGTCAGGGCTGTCGGACAGACATTCACCTGAGTTCCGCAGGAAATGCTGGTGTAAAGCCTCTTTCACCTTCCCTTTTCTTACAACTCGATTTATTTCGTTTATCCTTTTTTTCTCCACGTCAGCAAACCCTCTGTTCCGCCTTCTGACTCAGCCTTTGTTGGCATTTGCTGTTTCCTCCTTTACTTTGCCCTTGAAGGAATAAATTTCAAGGACAACTGTTTCTGTACGCTTTCTTTTGGCTTCACTCTATCTCTTATATGCCCGCTCATTAGAATTATTTCCATTAAATGACTATGATCACCGAAACCGACACTAGGGGCCCATATTCTTTACACGGGTATCACTATTTCTATCGGTTAGCTCCGTAATACCTTCTGACATTCGGTTTACTCTTCTACCCTGAAGATGGAGCTAGCAGGCTTGTCCGGAACAATGGTAACGAACCACCTGGCCGTGCTACGTGACATCACAGAGGCTAACCTCCATGGCCACTCTAATGCAAAGAGCTACATCCTGATGCCGTCTTCACAAAATGGCGCACTTTACCTTAGATCCAGTCGCGACTAAAAGGCATGACTGTCCCTCCAGTGCTTCCCCGCTGAGAAATCTGCCTGACCCTTGTGAACCCTGCCACTGTCGGACTTTAGCCTTAAATGGTATGTTCGAACTTTGGAAATCTTTTTATTGAAAGGCCCGAATTTCCCTGCCGAGCCTTTTTTTATTGCTAGTGGGGTGGGACTAAGTCCCTTGTACTGCGGCCACTTCTGGCCTATTGTACCAGCTCCAGATGATAGTTGAGGGTGATTGTGGAGCAATGGGTGGAATGAAGATTGGCAGGGGAAACCGAAATACTCGGGGAAAACCTGCCCCAGCGCCACTTTGTCCACCACAAACCCCATTTGACCAGGCCTGGGATCGAACCCGGGCCGCCGAGGTGGGAAGCCGGAGACTAACCGCTTGAGCTATGGCGCGGCCATCTGCCGAGCATTACTATTAAGCAGTGGTGCCACTCTTACCCTGCCGAGCCTTACCAAATACGATGACGAAGGTCATCTTCACTGTCTTGATCTTGGCTTTGGGGATGAGGCCACGTGAGCTGGCTCGCCGGCAGTTCTGCTCCTCCTGCTGCAGTCGGTGTTGTCCTGCAAACAGCAGCTGCTACAGGAGGCTGATATACAGTGCCCCGAGAGGGAACGTCAATATTCTGGGAGGTCATAGTATCGGTCATTCTAAGCAAAAAGTGTATATGTACATGTGTCCTATTCCGAACGGTTTCCGAGATAGAGTCATTTCACTGTGCAGTTCCAAAACTGTTGATAAGAAAGAGACATTACGTACTGTTTCTAATACCGGTTTTTATTGTTCAAGTGACAGGGTTGGTGCAGTTTACCTAGTGTAATGCATTTTCGAAAATTTCGCCAACATCAATGCACTTTGCAACTTGTGTGAGGACATGGCGTGTTGCTCATCTGTACAGTGAAATAGCTCTATCTCGATGCAACGCGTGTGAGTACATGGTGTGCTGCTCGTCTGTACAGTGAGCTCGGTTTAGCAGCTCGATTAAGTCGCAACTGTTTTCTTTTACGTCCTTTCCAGTTCATCACACATCTCTTCTCTTAATAAAAAGGTAAAAGTATCCCTGTAACAGGCGGTCGAAGCTCCCACATTTTCTAGAAAATCGGCTCACAGATGACGGTGAGGTTGTCAGCCTTACGCGCCTGCCGGCCACCCTTTACCCTGGCACTCATTTCTGTTAAAGAGGCCGAGTCAACCACAAGGCCATAGTGCGGCTGGAAGAATTAGGTTAATTGAAAAATCCAATGACCTCATCGGGAATCGAACCCGCGAACTTCCGGCTTGTAGCATAGTGCGTCAACCAACTACGCTACCGCGTGTCCCTCCTTTTCCCTGCTATTCGACTTTACATAATCGACCTAGTGACAACATCGCGAATCACTTCGCAAAATAATGCACAAAAAGACAGGGCGTTTCCATTAGCAAGAAAAACAGATGGTGCAGTTTAGCGAAATGCTTTCCCATTCCGATAATTGTCCGAAACACATAAATACAGCGTGTGGGCAGTGCTAAAGCAGGCGAAACCTATTATGCTTTAGACACTTGAACTTTAGCCTCACCCCTGCTGCGGTAGGACCTGGAGGTGGGGGTGAGGGTCTTGCCCTTCCTCCAGATGGTGAGCACGATGACGGCGTAGCACCCCGAGATGATGAGGGCCGGCAACACAAACAGTGACACAGCTACCAGCGACAGGTACAGCTGCCACTGCCAAGGATGAGGGAGCTCTATCCAGCACTGCGTCTTGCCTGCAACACGCAACACATTGCAGTGTCCAGTCACGGTGCTGAATATTGAGAATGCGGTCTTCTGGTTCCTGACGCCGTGTACTTTAAAATGCATACGGATGTTTCGGAGGTACCTGCTGCCTCCATCTTCAGTGGTGAAGATTACTGTGTTCTAGAACATCTCTAGATGCTTACCAATGTTTCGGAGGAAACCGTTTCATCCATATTCGGGCAAAAATTGATATCTTCAGAATTATTGGGTTTTTGAACTTTGTCCATCGTCCGGTATTCTAGAAAGTAGAAGAAACAAACGTTTCGGAAACAGATCCTGTTTCCATCCTCAGGTGAGGGGGAAGATACCTACTCAGCTGGGTCCGTCTTCGAGTTTCTAGAATACTGGATGATGGACAAAGCCCAAAAATCCAATAATTGTGTATATTACACACCATCGTCAGCACCCTTTAGATTCCAATCGATGTCTTGTTTGACTTAACCCTTTGAAGTCTAGTGTATACTTACTCAACCCGGCTCCTTGTAGCGGGTCGTTGATACAAAAATGGATAGGTTGAGTAACAGATTGATGCGACCCGAACTACCTGCAGGGAAGACAGAAGTTCAGCTAGGGTGGAAAACGTGTCTCACCTTGCACCAGTCTCTCTTCATACAGGATGAAGATTGGGGCGGAGAACAGGGCACTAAGGGACCAGGCCGCCACAACCAGTACCCTCGCGCGCCTCCCTGCAACATACACGTACGGATATGTTCCTAATTCTCACAATATATACATACTTCTACGTCATATAAAAAGCTGCGAAAGTATTTTAAGGGGACATCTGTTCCTTGAAGGGGACACGCGGTAGCGTAGTTAGTTGAGGCACTATGCTACAAGCCAGAAGGTGGCGGGTTCGATTCCCGATGAGGTTATTGCATTTTTACAAATTGACATAATCCTTCCGGCCGCATTATGGCCTTGGGGTCGACCCAGAAGACCCAGGCGACCCAGCCTCTAACAGGAATGAGTACCGGGAATCTACTGTTTTTCTTTAAAAAACCGGGAATACATGAAATATCTCCAAAAGCACCTTCACCTAAAATTACGTAGTGATACCCTGGAACGAATCCATACAGTTATGTCCGCCTTTAAGTTAATCCCCCTTTAAATTTGATGCTTTCAGAATGAATTCGAAATTAGAAATCTACAGTAATGATTTGTTAGGATACCGTTGGTTAAGTGACGTGATATATAACAGGAAAACAATTAATTCTATGCGTTCTTTAATTATGGGTTAGATGTGCTTGATATTACAGTGATTTTTACTACAATCTGCAGAGCGAAATTACATTCATACCGATCAAATGATATAGGAACATGCAGATTCTAGGCTCGTACACCCGCATTTCACAGGAAACTGAAACATCACTTATTTTTTTATAATGGCTCACCATTAAAATCATCTGTAATGTGAAACATAGTACGCCACAAGTGAGAAGGTTACTATGTAATTGGGTTATTTTGAGTACAAACGTTATATGGGCACGAGTATGATTCAGAGAGTTACGGAGCATTGCTGAAAACTGAGGCAAGGCAAATAAAATTGGTGTTTTGGTAAACCGCTTTAAACAATTTTAGGCTATTTTTGTTCGTTTAATGTTAAGAGCCGTTTAAGCGCAAAATGTTACCTCTCATTACCTACAGAAAGAGCTGCCTCTCGTCTGGCATAATTTTCTTTCAAAGCAACATAAACATGTGGCCACAACACAACGGCACTCCGCCCCAATTTCAGTTGGCAAGTGAAGGAATATTTCAACAGTTACCGTTGGATTTGTCGCGGAGGACCACAGGATGGCTTCCATGTTCACCAGACTTCTCCCTCTGATTTACGCCTGTGGTGATACATCAAAGAGTTGGTTTATCGAAAGAAACGCAGATAAGAAATTAAATTTGACTGATAATCATGGACGTGGACCTGAGGAATAGTTCTAAGTGTATTCTAAAGGAAATTTCTGTTGTCAAACAAACAAAACTGTGCACTGACAATGTAATTTCTAGCACCAAATAGCAAATTATCATTCTAGAGCCTTTATTTAAAATTATATGAAGACGACACATCTATTCATCGATAGGAGACTCAAAAATGGTACTTGTCTGCTTTATGCTACAGAGTGTTACATTCTAGAAGGTATAATTCTTCATAACCACCGCCGTGACAACTTCAGATGCTACAAGAGAAGGGATGTTCTAGAAAATATTGAAATTGAGCAAAATCACTCATTTTCGCAACACCAGCACACAAATAAATTAACAGCGAGGTAATTTCCTTCATAGCGGATTGAATGCGTTTCAAGTTTGTGATAACTTTCCCTATTTTTCTGCATCAATTTCGGTACCAGCCACTAAATTTAAAAACTAATTCCATGGCATAAATTTCGTGTCTTCGTAAAGAAATCTGTATACTGCGATTCTCAAGAATCTATGAGTCGCAACTTTCACGACACTCATAGATATAATTAACATGTGAAAGAAAGTTCATTAGGACCCTAGTAATTCCGTGAACGATCCGACCTGCCTTCGAAATAAACAACAATAATAACAAAATATAAATGGTAAAACTATCCCTGCAACGGGCCGTGAAGACCGACAGGGTTGTTAGACACTGAGGCGCCAACATCTTCTAGACGGTCAGCTTACAGATCGCTGTGAAGTTCTCAGCCTTACGCGCCGGCCGCCCTTTACAGCCCAGGAAGATTCATGGTACTCATTTTTGTTACAGGCCGAGTCGGCCCCAGGGCCATAGTGCGGCTGGAAGGATTAAGGTCAACTGAAAAGATCAAATGACCTCATGGAGAATCGAACCTGCGACCTTCCGGCTTGTAGCATAGTGTCTCAACCAACTACGCTAATGCGTGTTCCAATAATAAAATAATTATAGCAGCAAAACCACAAACGGCAAAATTCTGTTTCTTTTACAAATTCACGAGAGGGTGGATATTTTTTAATGTATTTCTAAGTTGAGTTTTAAAACATTTATTGTTATGACGTAGCTATAAACAAGATAAATTTAAAATCTAATTTCAGACGAGTAAAACAAAAATCCGGGAATCCAGAAACATAAATTTCATACATTAAAACCAGATTTTTATGGGGGCTTGAGGGGTAAAAAAGAAATGTGAGATCTTCACTCCATGGAAATGTGTAGCTTTATTAATTGCTCCTAGTCAGAAAGTTTACTGTTGCACAACAACGCTTACTTACAACTCCCCGAGAAGTTCATGGGATGTGTGATTGCGTCGTACCGGTCGATACTCAGCGCGACCAGTACATATGTGGACGAATAGGTAACTACAGCCTGAAACAAATGGAAACATTTCATTCACTTTATACGAGTATTTTTTCCCGATGTACTCTTACTTAAAGTGAGACCATTTTGGACAAATAATTTCTGTTCCCACATTTTCTATAAAATTTATGGGGAAATACGTATCTTCGAGCTATTTTAGAAGTTTCATATACAATTTGAATAGATAAACTCATCGAAATACAGCCCCATATATGAAGAATTTACAGAAAAAGTCGAATGTATAAAATTTAAGATAATTTTATCTATGAAGAAATCAGTTTTCTTCATAGTCACCGCTGTGACACCGCCTCAAATCTTACAATTTTATCTATATTTTTAATTAATTACACACTGCACTCTGAAGACAGAGGGGGGAGGTACAGCTGAACGAGTCATAAATTCGACATTAGATACAGCTAGTGGTCAGCTTCACGCCCGTGCCCTCTTATCCCCAGACAAGCAGCTGTCGCCCAGTGGATAGGAGGCTGAATTGACCCCACAGCAGGTCTGGGCCCTGTGAAGAAGAGAAAGATCCCTTGTCCCTCCCGGGAACAGATCCCGACCTTTCGTCGAGCCCACGCGCTAGTTTCTGCATTCTCTGAGCTACAGGCAGAGAGGCTGGCCAGGACATGAAGGAACACAGACTTCGATTTTGTTGTTGACCAGGGAAAATTTTAATTCTTGCCTCCAATAAAATTAATTTAAAACAACATATCACAATTTAGTCTACTTCTCAATATCATCATCACCACCATCATCACTGGTATCATCGTTATCTTCAGTCATGGCTCTCAGTCATCACCACCACTATAGAGACATCCATGATTTGAGTGGGATTCGAACCCAAGACCCCAGTATTTGAGCGGCCGAAGACAGTTCATGCCTTGGACTCCGCGGCCACTGTCACCGGCTCTACAGAAATATGTCAAACGAATTCATCTTACAAACCATTTTTTTTTTCCTTGGCACTACAACCCCAGTGGGCCTAGGCCTACCTCCATGAACTTCTCCGTTCACTTCGGTGTTTCTATATCTTACACATACGGTAGGCCTCCTTGGGCGGGTGATCAGCTCGTCGCAAGGCCTCTACCTGTACACAAACACAGAAAAATGCACACAAACATCCATGCCCTGAGTGGGATTCGAACCCACGATCCCGGCTTCCGAGCGAGCGAAGACAGTGCATGCCTTAGACCGCTCGGCTACCGTGACCGGCACAAACCAAATTAAATCTAATTAATTTAAGTAATTAAAAGCATGTTTAGAACTCCTAGGGATCTGGACCGTCAGGAAAAGTAAGCCAAGGTAGCACGACCGTAATGGCGACCGTTGCCTAGTGTGACACAGCTGGGATTGCTTGTAGGAACAGAACAAGAAACGAGACTTCAAAGTTGCATGAAATGCGTGTACACACTATGATTCTAATTATTGTCGGGGTTTCCGTGGCCCATAAACGGAATCCCAGACAATAATTTAGAATCACACTGCATATTTCGTTTTCAGAAACAGTGGAGGTATTAGTGAGGAGATTTCGAAGCGGAATAAATCAGTCAACATAGCGACAAGGTAATTGGTTAGACAGCTAAGGGTTCCCGGTAGGAGTAACACATTTCTATTTCATCCACAGCAACCAGACCGACACTGAAGCCAACCCAGTCTCCTACGCAATGATTGCAACTTGCTGCTCCCTCTGGGGTAATACGGGAAGAGGCGTGAAGCTGACCACTCACTCAAACCTAAATCAAGAATCTCCACTCTCATATACGTAACTCTTCGTGACATGACGCCTAATTAAGCACAGGGATAAGTTCATAAAATACCAGTGTGTGGTACAATTCATGACGAACCTTGGCCTCTGTTTTACAATTTCTCAATCTTATACACAGTCGGTCCCCCTCTTTGGTGTCTCCACCTTATCGTGGTGAGGGGGTTTGAATATGCCAAGGACCCTGAGAGCTATACCAGCGGTAGCGTAGCTACTGGCAGGGCCTCCCTTGCTGGACAGGTCAAAGGGTAGGCATCAGACGAAGAGAGACACCAAAAACTGATGCCAGAAGCAGCGACTTGAAGCACAGAGCAAATGATGCTCGAGATGGTTCAAGTTCGTATAGCAACAGGCGTGACCAGAGTGGTTTGAACGGCTGTTGTACTGCGATGTGGAAAGCAAATGGAAAAACTACCACATTATCACTTTCCCTGGATAGTCTCTTTCCAAAAACAGAGATACCATGTATGCGAGATGTTTCCTCTGGAGATAAAACAATCCGGAGGTAAACTACTCCCCCAATCGGATCTCTTGGGGGGTGTGTTTCTAGAGGAAATGTCATGCAGGCGTTACAACAACAACACAGTCGGTAGGACTCCTTGGGCGGGGGATCAGCCTGCCGCAAGGCCGCTACCTACACAGGACAACACCAACAGTCCAAACGCACACAGACATCCATGCCTCGAATGGGATTCGAACTCACGACCCCAGTGTTTGAGCGGCCGAAGACAGTTCATGACTTAGACCGCGGCGGCCAACTGTGATCCGAACAGGGATAAATTTACCTTTAACTAATCGATAAATTTCTGCCAACAGGGATTCTAGCCGGGTACCTATTAAGTATCATTAAGCTTCATTACAAACATCGGAAGTGACGTTTGGAATTCAGAGGAATAATTGTTAGGTTGATCCAGAGGTAGGAATATTCAACGTGATGCTACATGTAGCCGTTTCATCTGCCCATGCTTTCAATTTCAGAAGAGCTGTTATGTAGGCAGCAGGGCCGTCTCTTGGCGAGAATTCTGCTTTTCATGCAAATCGAGCCATGCTAATTGAGGTCGCGCGCAGAACCGCACTGTATTGAAGAAAGGGATGCGGTTGTAAACCCCGTATTCTGAATGTTAATTTCATCAAATTGAGACTCGATTTTCTAAGTAACCGCAAGTTCTACATTTATCCAATTTGGAGCACATGTAGCTGATGACTTGTTCATTGGATCTGTATGTCACAGTTGACTTTACTCCTCTTTTAAATATATAACTGAATACGTAAAATTGTTCTTAAAACTGTGAAGCAAGAGGCCCGAGGACACTACTCTCTCTCCTTTGTTCGTGCAGTTGGCTCGCTCTCCCTAAACGTCGCGGGTAAATCCGGATCTGGAGCTCGGCATGATGACGTAGTTAGACTAGACTACAGCCACATCGCTTCAAATCATTTTCAATTCGTGCCTTAGTAAAAAGAAAGGTAAACTTGTCTCTATGCTTAACTAGTTAAGCACTACGGCATGTAGAAGTATTGGGGGAGTGGATGTATAGATCCACGTTTGCTTGACCTCGGCACTAGTTGGACGAAAGTGGGTCTATACATCCACTCTCCATACGTCTTCATGGCGTAGTGCTTAGTTACTTAAGCACAGGGATAATTTTGCCTTTTTACCTAATCCTTCCAACCGCGCTATGGCCCTGGAGTCGAATCAACCTCTAACAGAAACGAGTACCAGGAATCTTCCTGTGGGTAAAGGGAAGCCAGCGCATAAGGCTGACAACCTCACCGCCACATATAAGCCGATTGTCTAGGAAATGTGGGAGCCTCGGCGTCTCACAGCCCTATGGGCCTCCATGGCTTATTACAGGGGTAATATTTTTTTAACGTTCTGCTCAGAAGTGTTGGGTTCAAATACCAGCTGAGGGCAGAGGACAGAAAAACTGTAGCCCTACATGTACATGACGAAGTGCAAGAACTTATGTATTTTTTTAAACCTCCAGTTGAAAAAAAAACACATTCTCTTCTATAATCTATCAGAACCCCTGCTCAACAGTGTTGTCAAACCAAACTTCTAGCAATTCTTTGAAAAGTGTACCAGTATTACAACAAATGTTTATAGAAATAGAAAGTTAAATAGTCAATCTCTTCCTGGAGATCCTGTTTATTATAAAATTGACTAGTTTTGTCGCTGGCCATACTGTCACGTGTACGAGTGACTATAGTTCGTGTATGGATTGGTGATTCGATTTATTGACAACTTACAGATCGTAACTAGAAGTAATTATAGCGTCTTCGCTATTCTCCGCACTTTACAAATCACCAGAGCACACGATAATTTTTCTGTCTGCTTTCACTAGCCATGCTTGGTAACAGCTCTATAATCTCTTCCGGGTACTGTGTAAATCAAAATCTGCACTTCCATAATTCGAAATTATGGCCTCAAGGGCATAACACTGTACATACCTGAAGGAACCGTATGAGTTTGCAGGCGAAGTTCCCGGCATGCCACACGACTGTGATTCTCCAAATGACGTCAGTCAAGACGCTTATGAGTCCCACGGTGAGATCTGGAAGTGTAAACCAAAACACTAACTTTCGTAGAGCGTCAAATTGTCCACGTTCAGCGGTCACTGAACTTTAAAGTCAAAGTCACTTTACTGAGAATCAGTATGCCTTGGCATCAAGCCCCTTGAGACTCACGACCAGATTTTTTTTTTCCGACTCAGCCCTTCCGGTGATAGTCCTTATGTAACATCCTCGCTGGCGACAATATGGGTTTGTCTCTTATGAATATGATTGGCCTTTGCTAAGTGTACGCATCGCACTTACAGCGTGTTATTGAAAAGTCTTGCTTTGCACTACAAACAGCGATATACAAACAGCTTTGCAACATAAAACCTCACATCGAGATATTTCCAAAATACTCTTTTGGCGCACACTGTCTTACTAAAGGAATATTAACAAATGTAAGTCACGTACTGTCTTCTTGATTTTAACGACGTGTATGTGTGTATGTTGGTGACAAGCCGAGGTTTCGGAGGAACATATCGCCTCTGTCATCAAGGTCAAAGAGTAAGGTAGGCCAGAAAGATATCAGCTTGCAGTCTGCTTCTTCTGGTATCCTGCTTCGCTTACTTTGAGACCCTGATGATGGATGCGATATGTCAATCCGAAACAGACTAAACTATGTTACAACCCAAAACTTCGTACTTTTCATAGTTAAGAGTGTGAGAATGTCACATCCAGCACAAAAAATGGTGATTCCGTCACTGGACCGAACGCTTAAATTAATATATCTTTCTCTTTACTTCTACGTTTCTGTTTCTTTGTTCTTCCTTCTCTCTGCACTGTGCCAGTATAATCCATTTAGACTCCTGTGTTCTGGATTACGACACCTACAGTCTGGTGGATGGTTACCACAACCAGGCTGCAAAGTGTGAGAGTCCTGAAGAATTAAGGAAAATTGTTCAATAACAAAATTAAAATAGCGATAAATTCTCAATATGCTCAGCTAGACAATCAATACAAATTCCACAAATTAAGAAGAAAGTGAAGTAAAAAGTAAAGCTATCCTTGTAACAGGCAGTGGAGGTCCATAGGGTTGTGAGACGTCGAGTCTCCCACATTTTCTAGACAATCGGCTCACAGATGGCGGCAAAGTTGTCAGCCCTACGCTCCAGCCACCCTTTACCCCATAGAATATTCTAAGAATAATCCTGGTACTTATTTCTGCTAGAGGCTGAGTCGAACCCAGGGCCATAGTGCGGCTGGAAGGATTAGGTCAATTGAGAAAATCCAATGACCTCATCGGGACTTGAATCCGAGACCTTCCGGCTTGTAGTATAGTGCCTCAACCAACTGCGTTACCGCGTGCCACTACAAATTAAGAAGAAATAAAAATAATTTAATAATCTTCAATCTTCACTTGTATGAAAAACTCATATTGCATACACCTGATGCCAGTTCTCGTTTTCGCAACTTATTGTAGCGTTTAAAGCCGTTTCTAGGCAACGGTTGCGAAACAAACACCGGAACACAGTCCGTTCCTAGGTAGCAGATTCTTAATAATGCAACAGTTTAAATACAATGGAAGAACTGAGTGTCCTACTCGGTCCGTGCCGACAGGTTATAAGAGAGACGAGGTTTATAACTTGGCTAGTTTATAGGCGGTGGGGAGAAGACAAGGAGGTTGGGGTGAAGTGGCCGCGGGTTGGTTGCAAGTTGAAAGTCCGGCTGTGAACAGAAGACTTTAACTGTGATATTTTGGGGTGTGTAATTCAGTGAGGCTGTTACAGTTCCTCTATTAAAATTCGTTGCTAGGAAAAGGCTACTAGAGACTGTAATAGACTAAGGATACTAGTCTGTGTGTTTCAGTGATCTGTAAAGTGTAGTCACTAGTCGCGAGTGTATAAGTGGCCAATAAATCGAGTCACAAATCCAAACTCATACACGTGACAATATTTATATGAGATTCATTTTATGTTAATTTATCTCCCTTTGCCTTCACAATTCCTAACCAAAATTTCGGATGTACGTCTGTTTCTTCAAGTCCCATACGATAAGAGTGTCATAAAAGAAAACCCACTTTATGTGGCTCCAAGTTCTTAGTGAACATCTGCCAGGAACGCGAAATCCACGTCAGGAAGCGTCGGTTTCGTGTGGCCCGGCGCTGTGTCTCCGTCTGCCGACAGGTGTCGCAGTTATTGCGGGGACGGCGGGAGGGAAGAGACAATCTAGATGAGAGTTGTCATTTATTTAAATGGAGCTGGTTCCACATAGCCACATTACCGCTCAGTGTTTCGCTCTTGAAGCAGAAGCCTCGCGCTATGACAGGAACATCTGCTCTTTCCGCGTGCCGTTTTCATTGCAGCGCTGCTGACTGAAGTTGCGAAGAATTGGGTTCAGACTGGCGGTGGTGACGACTTTGGTCAGTAATTTGATGGGCGTCACTTTTCGTCTTTTGAAAGATGATGCTGATTATGGCCGTGATAATGGCTTCAGTAATTTTACTATGGTAATAGTGTTACTTTGAGGGTTTATCTAACAACGCTGTCAGTATGTATGAGGGAGAGTCACTAAACAGGTCACAAATGGAAGTAAAACAGCTGTAATTTATGTACCAGGTTTTCTATGTGTATCACTGAGTAGCAGCAAAATCCAGCTTCATGACAGTCTAGGTAGCAGACGCGCTTGCCCAGGTTCAGAGGCTGGTTTCAGTAGTCAAAATTTGCTACCATGTTTGAGTGTATTACCGAAGTATAGCGATCATTTTTGTGTTTTGTTGGCAAAAGGACTCGATGTAAAAGATATTATTAAAGAAATGTTTCCTGTTAATAGTGGGAAGTGTTTGTCGCGCAAAGCGGTTCACAACCGGGTGAAAAATGTTTCGCTGATGACGAAGAGGTTTAAATGGTGGTGCAAAGTGGCTGAGACAACAGCCAAAAAGACTTGTACGCTGCGGATTTCGATGAATTTGTAAAGCAATGGGACAAGTGAAAACAACTGATAAATAAATGTTGTTTTTCTTTTCAGTTTCGAATGTCACGTTTTACGTTTTATGTTTTTGCAACCTGTCTACTGACTCCCCTTCGTAGATCTCACAGCGTATATTGTTAGGATGGCTGATGAGGATTCGGAAGGAAACGGTATTGGGTTACTGTAAGTAATGTCGCGGAAATTCCCTGGAGGTACTGAGGAATACATGAAAAATTTCAGTGACAGAGTGACCCTGCCGAGGTTCGAACCGAGCACTATTCTATACAATATCCGAATACAGGATTTCCCGAACATGAGGCGGTAACGCTAAACCCGACGTTTCGACATCTGTTTGACGATGACAAATTTTCGGGTTCAATGCAAGTAGAAATGTGCTTACCAGCTGTATAACTATCAGATGCTTAACCCTTTCAGACCCTGAATACACAATTTTGCGGTCTGTGTCACTGATAGAGGAACGTGTGAATAAGGGTAGATGGAAGAAGAAACGGATAGGAGAATAAATTTAAGGGTGGGGAGGAGATAAATAGAAGACGTTGTAGCAAGTATAAAATGAAGCGGTAGAGAGAGACAACAGAGAGAGATGGAGAGGCAAAAGAAGTGAAGAGGAATAGGATAGGAAGCGAAGAGACAGGAGAAGGACAGGCGGAGAAGAGTGGAAAATAAAAGTAATGGTGGTTCAGAAATAAGCTGACATAGGCAGGAATGCACACGAACAGACCTCGAACGACCCAAGAGCTGAAACTCTCAGCTGTGCCGGAAGACATGTTGGAGAATGCGATGCAGAATTTTGAGAAGAGGCTCAAATGCGTGTCCAGCAAGAACGGCATCATCTGACTGGCATTATTTTCCGTACGTAATGCAAGTTAAAATACATGTTAATGTTAAAATAGCTTCTTCTTTGTGTAATTAAAAAGGTTTTATCTTGAAAATCAACACATTTATTCTTATGTGAAAAACACGCGTTTCCTCTGCTCCACTCTGTAGAATAAGGGGGAAGAGATTAGGAGATGGAGGAATAGAAGAGGATGTTGAATTAGGCAGAACAAGGAAGGGGAAGATAAAATAACTCTGGTCTAGAGGAGCGGCGGAAGAGTCCCGGCCACCCGGCGCGCCAGTCCACTCGCTCGGCCTGCTGAAGGTCTTACTCTCTTCCCGGTCTGTGAGGATTAGAACCGCCGAGGACCGCCCAATAAACAGCTGCGCGAATGTCTTCATTTTTGTGCCTCCACTCCCAGAGAGGGGACGACTCAGTAGCCTATACGCCAGGCGCTATATCGCATTATTGCTTGTCTTCGCATTATCCGTTCCCCCATCAGGCAAAGTGTATTTCTCGCTCTCTTCGGAAGTAAAGCTGATAGTTTCATCTTGTGTATCTGATTCCGTCTGCAAGCTCGACGGTTTCATAAACGTCCTAATGAAACCAGACTTCAAAACGACCTCCTGCTGTTTCAGAACATTGCGGAACATTCAAGGTCTCACGACGTGCCTATGTGCGAGGTGACGCCGTATAGTCTGGCAGATTGTTACCGCCCTTTAGTACGTACGTAAGTAGATTTCTGTTAGGTCTTTTACATTTCCCTTTCAGTGCAGCCTTCTAATTAAGCCATCTTAAGGAACATTACTTATCTCTCTTCACGTCACTTCCTCCTGGCTCACACAGAGCCCTCGGAGGGGCAATGTTTCTATTGCGCGTTTCTCTCGACTTCCCCATTTATTTAAGACATAATTCCTCTTATATTTGAAAGCGGCCCTTTTAAGGGCCAAGCATTGTCCTTGTCTTTGTCCTCCCTTCCCCCTACAACCGTAAAATTTTCCCACATTAAATTTAACTTTCTTCTCTGAAGATGGAGGTACCGGTATTATCTGAAACGTTTGTAACTTTCTACCAGGCTACGTGATCTCTGTCCCTCTGTCAATGAGATTTTGTGCATTGGTTTCTCCACGTAACCGTAAGTCATGTACAGTCTCTTAGCTTTAACGATGTTAATAATGTGATTGAAAGTTCACACAGAATGAGGCCCCTCCTTACATAGCCCAATATTTGGAATAACGGTTACACTTAGGATTT